GCCGGATTATTGGAAGACGGAGTACCTGGTTCAGGGCCGTTTGATGCAAACCGACTCAGCATCCCTTCTGGTCGGTCGCCATCGACCCGCCATGCTTCGTAATCACTCGGAACAACGGGCGTCGGGTAGGAGTGAGGGGCACGAGAAGGATAATAAGCGCCATTGGCGCCGTTGTTGCCGACGCCCAGTGGGGTCGCTCGGTAAACCTCTCGACAGCGGAACTTCTCGATATCCCATACTGTGATTTCATTGCCGTGGCTGCCGCTGCTGGATACGCAAACCCAGCGTCCGCGGGCCTTGACGGGATGTAGTTGGATCCGGTTGATAGCACCCCAACCTGGAAGACCCCATGCCTTTAACCGCACGCGGAAGCGGAGATCCCACAGGTCGAGGATCCCATGAGTCGTGCCGACCAGGAGCCAGTGGTGTCTGCGGTCACAACAAAGTGTAGTTAGAGTTCCATGGTGAACTGGATTTTCCAATGTGTAGATCGGAAGCATGGTTTTCATGTCCAACGCAATGATGCGACAAGTGTTCGTCGCAATAATCAAGGTGGACTGCCCTTCGTCACGGAAGTGCTCCATCCAGACTGCATATTCCGGTGATCCGTCTTCGGCTATGGGTAGCTGATATTCGCGGACAATTTGAAGCTTGCCATATCGGACGGCTGTCTGACTGACTTTCTGATAGTCGACTCGAACGGCATGAACGCTGCCATCAGTGGCCGCACTGATAAATGTGTAGGTATTCTCAACAAATGTCAAAGCCTTCACGCGCGAGCCTGTTGCATGACGGTGAGTTTGACGGGATCGAGGAGTCAAGTTCCTTTCAAGACGAGTTGTGTCCCAAATCTTCACCGTGCTATCGTCAGATGCGGTAGCAAAGAAAGAGTGATCTGGTGCTACCACGACACGATTGATTGGCGCACTGTGCTCGCCAAAAGTCGCGACCAGATTCCCTTCGGGCTTCCAGATCTTACTTGGCTCCTGGTCAGTGGTGCTGCGAATCGGTTGACGGGTGTCAACTTCTTTGACATATGGCCCTAGGTCAAATAGGTCCGTCGGGTAGTTTTCCTCAAAGACGTTGTCCAGCAGTCGTAAAACCGCAGGGTCGTTGCCCCCATACGAATGGTGCGCACGATACTTCTGCGGCATTATTTGGGTCGCTTTGTGCTCGGTTGAGAGCAATGGTGTCAATGGTCGGGGTGTGCCCCCTCTTTGGACCGGTGCGTCTACCTTTCCAAAGGCATTTGCGGAGCTTGTGCCCGTTTCAGCGTAGGCTTTGGCAGTGTCTTTGCGACTCAACAAACTCATCGCGCTAGACTTTTTATGTATGCGATCAGATAGACTTTTAGTGTCTGCGTTGGTCGATATCAATGAGCCGTCTTGTCCAGGGCTCGGTCGGCGACTGGAAACCCTTTGATCATTATCAACGTTCGGAGGGGACAATGGACGAGATGCAGGTCCTCCGGCAGGCGATGATGCGACTGGGGACGATGATAATGAAGAAGTATCATTTCCATCCAAGATTGGAACGCGCGAGGCACGATTTGTTTCCTTCGAAAGTTGGCTTTTCGACCGCAAGTGCTTGCGATGAGCACTGGGCATTCGCTCAATGGTTGCAGAAGCGTCAAGCAAAGCATCTGCGATTGTTCTCGGCCTGGGATCGTCGACGGTGCCATCGTTAAGGTCCGAGGAGATTACTCGCGACTGGTCTTTAATTTCCTTATCAAAGAACACAGTCTGGGGCTTGACTCCATGTTGTGTCAAACTGACAATGTCGTTCACAGGTGGGCTTGACTGGACATCAGTTTCTCTCGATTGCCGTAATGAGACCCTCCAAATATAGTCTTTAAGGGCGAGAAGTTTGAATTCATCCTCAGGGCTCATTCCAAGGTTTCGCAACCGACCAAGCCATTGTTCGTCCTCGTCATTTCTTGATTGAGCGGCTATATTATAGGAAGGATTCCGTTGGCCCACGCGTGGACTAAACGACCCAGGCTCAGACAAGCTGAACGTGCCATCGCGACTTGGCGACTTCCAGAAAACACCTTTCTCTGATTTGGAAGCCCAGAGGAAGGCCATCTCGTACACACTTCTCGACATTGGCCGCTTGAGTGCATCGAGCATATCGGTATCCGAAAAGACAACAATTTTGACCTTGAGGAAAGGCCGGATAATGGGTGTCAGGATGGAATGAACATCCGCTATTGATAAAAACTTGGCGGAATTAACCACGAACTTGACTGCTGCCTCCCGAATCCAGATGTTCGGATGCCCCAAAAACCCAACTGTCGTGTTTAGGAGATCCCACGTTGTTGATCGCTGGAATAAGCCCAAGTCCGCCATAGCTGCCAGAGATCGAATCACCCTTTCAACAACAAATTCCTCAGGCTCAGTCATGGACTGGACCATCAGCGGCAATATGTATAGCTCCAGATTCAGGCTCCCCACATAGGCGGCGACACCGATGACAGCCTCGAAAAAGGCGCATTTCAAAATCCAGTCTGGATCATTCAAGTATGTATTCAAATGGCTAAGAACAACCTCGTTTGCTCTGAGATTGCCGAAAAAGATACAGAGGCTGGACACAGAGCCCAGGAAGGCCCGCCGGACTGATGCATCCGGGTCTGTCAACAGCATTTTTGTGTGAACTTCGAAGTATTCCAGCAGATCGACTCGAGCCACGTCGTAGAGATTATGATAAGTCGCATCCTCAGACCATCGGGGCTCAAACCCGACCGGGATCATCGCAGCCAAACGGGTATCGGAACGCAATGCTTGGATCATGTCCAAAAATCTCAAGGACGACTGGGCCAAAGACGCAATGCACGAGGCATACGCCGCACGCACCATGGCACTTGACTTGCTGTTGGAGGTAGCAACGAATGGCTGGAGCCTTGGGAATATGTATTCAGAGAACAGATAGGCATTAACCGGAGAAACCACCTGGACCATTTTCAGTAGTTGGGTTAAGGTGCGGATCGCAGCGACCTTGACAGTATCGGTCCGATCAGTCAATAAGACCATGATATATGGAAGAATGCGATCCAATTTAGCTTCATCTGACAGCCTTTCCGCAAATGCAAGAAGGATGTCACAGGCCTTGATCCGAGCCGATGCCTTGGCTGTATTTCGCAAGTTGGATACCACAAGTGTTAGGAAAATCAGAGCACCCTCCTCTGGCTGTGACTGTGGTGCTGAAATTTGGCTGTCACCGTTCCGCAGATCCAGCCTCACAGGAAGAGTGTTGCCTGTCAGTTTTGAGACTGGGACATTAGATAGAGCCCCAACGCGACGGGTGTCCGAACCGAGGAAGTAAGATACTTTATCGAAGTCTAGGTAAATTCGCTCAATCCGCTCATCTGCCTCCCCTCGGTTGGCTGATTCTGAATCCACGTTTGTTCGCCCGGAAGAAGGATCGGTCATGAGGGACATGTATTGGTGGAGAAAACTGTAGAAGTATTCCGGAAAGGCCTTGCCCTTCCAGAAATTCAGATATTCATCCGCTGAGTACCGAGACTCTGGCTCAAGTTGGATCATATGTAGAATCAGCTCCCGAATGTCCGGATCATCAATTTTTGCTAGTTGACTGTGTTCTGGGCTGTATTCTCCTTTGCGATACTTGTACATCTGACTCAGGTTGAAGATCGGCGCTTCGAGAAAGAGCTCTGCAATGACACAGCCAGCACTGAAGATATCCATTGCCCAGTTGACACCGCTTTCACCGGGCTCTTCCCGGGCAACAGAGAAGCGCTCGGGGGCTAAATAACAGGTTCGCCTCCCGGATATGTCGAAGAAGAAAGAGAAATCTGCCGGATTATCCTCAGGGAGAAATGTGGGTTTGAAAGATGATGAGAAGTCAGAAAGATACAGCCAGTTCCAGGCTGTGACCAAAACGTTTTCAGTTTTGATATCACCATGGTAGACATCCAATGAATGGCAATCCCGAAGAGCACACAACAGCTGGAAGGCAATCCACTTTTTCTCAATATGCTCTAGAAAAGGCCGTGTGCTATATTTATGTGAGGCTTCGTTCTCCGGCAACAGCTGCGACAGACATACCTCATCCGATCGTAGAGAGAGCTGTGGATGTACTGGCGCACAAGGTATCCACTCGTGGCAGTCTCAAGAATCCTCTGGTAGCTTAGCGCATTTGGCACGTCCGCCAACAACTTCCGTTCCCCTGAATTTGACATGGATATTAGAAGCCTAAAGTAGTAAAAAGGATCCAAACATACTCGTGATGTTTTTGATATATGGCTCCAGTTCCATGGTTGGGAACGGTTTCATGATAACCTTGATGAACACCAGACCATTTGGTTGCCGTGCGCGAATGCTTTTCATGAACCTACCACCCCCCATCGACTTCTCATACACCATGTCAGCTAATTCAGGCACATCGATCCCCGCCGACCCCGCGGACAGGGTTGTGAGGGAGTAGCCTTGTCCCATGGTGTCGACTGCCCCTCATCTCCCCGTTGGAGATTTGGGTGGTTATTCAGAGTCAGAGCTTGATTAAATTAGATGGAGATGATTGGGGAAAGCTATGCGATAAGGAAAGTCGAGTTGAAGCTGATGAAGTCACTGGACGCGTCGACACGTGCTCAAGGCGGTCAGCGAGATGTCGTTGGCAACTTTCAGCTCGTCACCTTTTCCTCTTGCAATTTTTCTTGTTTCTTAAATATTTTGGATTGTTTTATCTTAAACTGATAGAGGTCATTGTTACAGTGCTGTTTGTGGCCAATTGAATCCCCCACTGATCAAACGACATGGACCTTCCATCGATACCTCGGTCTTGATACTTGCAGTTCTGCCCTATCCCGGAAGAGAGATACGTTAGGTTCAAAAAAAGGAGAACAAAAACAAACAGCCAAATGTACTGGGGAAAAGGATATCCTGGAGTCAAATTTGTAACGTTCAACGTTCGACGTCCCACCGTCGGTACATGACTGATTCTGGCGGCTGCGGGGAGACCTGCTAATCGAAGTAGACCTCTAGATGGATTCACACATGGATCATACAGAGATTCCGGTGATTGAAACCAACGAGCCGCTATTCGATGTTCTTCCCAAGCTGTACAAGTAAGTCTTGCCTGCGTTCTTGATTAAGCAGAATTAACGGGGCCCCTCTAGCTTCATTAGCATGGCCGTGGGTGATATGGCATACACGTTTGAGCAAATGCTGTATGGATCCCAAGGACACCGTCTTAGACAGCTGGTCCATGCTTTGGCAGATGATACCCACAATCCCTTCATCATTGTCGCGTTGATGTAAGTTCACGAGAAAGAGGATGCTGGAACTGGACTGACTGATTAATAAATCCAGGATTCTGAAATGGGACTTCACCACTGCCACCGAGGATGATTGGGGACTCAATGAGAGCCGTGGTGCAGCCTGCGAATTTGTTGCCTGGCAATTCCTGTGTCACCTGAACCAGCGCGAGACAATTGAGTTTCTGTTGGAAGAGCTACCAACACCGCGGCGCGGTTCGACAAATATCATTGAACCCGAAGCAGGTAACCCTGGCCTGGCATCTATCCAAGGTGATACAAGCCAGGCGGAAAGTGAGACCACCCCTCTCTTGCCAAACTCCTCTTCTTTTTATCGTCTTTTTGGCGGCAAGAGAACCACAGAAACTCAGTTATCTGGAACCTCGCAGGATACACACCAAGATGAGGGAACCTATGCCGCCCAGAGATATTCCCGATTTTTTGGATTGAATGCACTGGAGATTGCAACGATTGCCCATGCAAAGAGATTCCTGAGCCAACGAGTTGTTCAAAGAGTGGTCGACGGCATTTGGAAGGGTGAAATCGTTTTCTGGGATTCTCTGACGGTCAATTCAACTAAGAAACCTCATATTTTCAACACAAGGTTAGACACAAAAAGCAATAGTCTTGCGGGATACTGACATTTTCTTCCATCAGAACGGCTGATCCATATTCACGCCTGAGAGTACCTCTGTACCGGAAAATTTTTGAAGCAGCGTTCTTCATCTCTTTCCTCTTTCTCTACTACGCAGTCCTGGTAGAGAGGAGACAAGAGGCCGTTGGCATCTTCGAGGCGGTAATGTATGTGTGGATCGTTGCTTTTGCATACGATGAGTTGAGCGGAATCATTGATGCTGGAGTCATTTTCTACCAAATGGATTTCTGGAGTCTCTGGAACCTGAGCATAATTGGTGTTGGGATGGCATTTGTAATAACAAGTGAGTCATTGATCGCTCAATCTGCCTTGCGGCTCGTTGCTAGCAGGTCATCTGTGTGGTGCGACTAATGAGGATGCCACAGGGGTCATCGGGCTAGCGAAGGGCGACAAACCCATTATTGAGCTCTCATTCGACATCCTATCCCTGGAGGCTCTATTCCTTGTACCGAGGCATGGCTATTTGTGGAATTAGCGTCTGGGTGACAGGGCTGACACGGAATGAACAGGATATGCTCGCTCGTGAGCTTGAATTCATACTTCGGCAGTCTAGTAAGTGGATCCTGCATGCAACTTTGTTGCTCAGAAAGGGATTGACTGGTTGTGGCTATGAACAGATACCGGTATTGAAAGAGATGGTGCGGTTTCCCCCCTAAACTTGGCTGAGTTGGCTTTGGGACCCAAGGCTGATTGAGGATGTGTTTCAGACAAAAGCATTCTTCAGGTTTTTCCCAGTGGTGGTAGTATTGTATATTGGTAAGTGTGGCTATGCACATAAAGAAGTGAAGCATGTCGGGGCAGAGTCGCTGAAGCGCTGCAGGGTTCTTGACGACATTTACCATGCTCGCGCGTGACCGCTTGTCGCTCAGCACAATGTCACATTTGTTAGTGAAGGTGTTCTTCGGGTACGGTGAAATAATCCCTGTTGTGACCGCTCCTTTTCTCTTTTTTACTGACCATTTGAACAGATCGAGCGTTCTTGGATTAGTGGGTTTATGTTTCCTTTCTCTTTTAGGGATGTGCACTGACAGTGGCTGGATTGATTGGATGATAGGACACCGCGTCTGAAGTAAGTCTGCGCACCAGGCGGCTGTCCTGCAGCTCAAATCGCATTATCCCGGAGTATTGGCAAAATGGTTGGCTATCGTGTTAAGTTGACTTACACGCTAATTTTTTAGATCTCCCCCATCTTCGGCTATGGCTTGATGTGAGTTCCCTAACTTTCCTTTGATTTTATTGCGCCACAAATAAAAAAAAAATTGGATGTGCTTTTGATCATGTTCGAATATGCAAGTGACGTCCGGTCGCATGGCCTTTTTTTTGGCCGCCATTAGCACACGGGGATCTGCTACAACTTCCACGCAGTGGTTTCTTTTGCAACACGATGTATGCAAATGATACTGACAGCTGGAATGACTTATAGGCTTACTTTCGCTCTTATGACCAATACTCTCATTCTCTCATCCTTGATTAGTTTGATGAGCATGAGCCTTGAAGGGGTAAGTAAACGCGGTCTACTATAGCTGTGTGGCAGTCGATTAATTTCCATTTATTGTGATAGGTGATGCGCCATGCCCGAGAAGAATACCTTTTCCAGTAAGTGTAGAGACACCCCTGCTTTTCTGAATTTTGGCACTGCCCCATGGAAAATTCCATTTTGACTAACAAGCCAATCAGGTTGGCCATTTATGTCCTAGAAAGCAGCAATTCTCGACGACTGACATACTTCATGCCACCTCTGGTCAGTTAGCGTCTGATCCTTGAATCGAATCTTTCTTTGTATGTTCTGGAATATTTCCAAGCTAACACTCAGCAGAATCTCATTCCCCTCCTCTGTATCCGCCCCATGCGGCTTTTCCTCTCCGCCGGAACAGTTCGCAGCGTACGCATTGTATTGCTTCGAGCCACCCACCTCCCGTTTGTTGCATTGATATGGGCGTACGAGTCTAAATGGCGACATCCAAAACGACAGACCAGCCAGCTTGGCCCAATGTTGGCACGCGGTCAAGAAACTTCTGAAAACCCGACTGAGTCGAGGTGCCAGGACCCACAACACCCCTCAGTAGTTGAAATAAATCGCCTAGGCCCTGGAAAAGCACCCAGTGTGGATCAGCAAGCCGCGCGTGAGCTAGACATGGGGCAATTCGGGCAAGTACCGCAACTTGCCGACCTGATCGACACGATAGAGCGACTACGAACTCAAGTGGAGGCTATTGCTCAGCGAAAGTGACTACGATCTACGGCACAAGCACAATGCTCGGGCGCAAATTACCGTGTTCTCCGCGTTGACTTCTGATCTGCGGAGTTAACGGGGTTTCAAAAGAAAGGCGCGGTAGAGGGGTCACTACCCTGGCGCTTAGGGCCACGCACGCCCCATGCAGGGCAGGACCGGACTGGGCGCTAGTCGGCGTCGGGTCACTTTAGTGGCAGAGCCACTTTGACTCCAAAAAACCGTTCGATATTCCTGTGAACAACCATATCGATTAACGGCCTAATCGAAACAGGCTTGGTGGCTTTTTTCGGGGTTCGGTCCTTTTTTCCCCTCCTATTTTCTTTTCTTTTTTTGGCTTTCTCCCCCCTGTCCCTGGCGTTTCAAGATGGGTTCTCCTTTCCAATCAATTTCGTGTTTGATCCACAAGAGGGGGAAAAGCGAGTAAATAGATCATGGCCATGAAGTTGAACTCGGATATCTCATAGAGAGCGACGGTTTGCCCGGGGCCGCGTCAATTATCTGTGGAGTTGATGTGGAGTTTCCGCGCTATGGTATACATGAAGCCAAAGGGATCGAGCGGTTCGGAAGGGCTGGCCCGCATACCGGTGAGGTACGATAATTAGTCCTGTTCGTGAAATATTGATCGACTTCATCATCCAATTCCCGACTTCGTCAGAAAATACATTCCCCACCGTCTCAGCTTGATGCGGGCTGTGCTCATGGTCAACAGGCCCTCGAGACACCAATGCACCTCGCCAAGCCGATCCAGGGACTCGGGCTCTGCTAATGTCTCTGTATGGATACTACCTGCATGGGACACGTCTCGGTTGGGCAGACCAGCCCAACGGTGGTGAAAGGGATGGTTAGCCTTTTCCAGACAAACCCAACAGCCGCCGTTATGCATCGTCATATCCTTATGTACCTATCAGTTCTTACAGGGTATTACGATCTCCAAAAGTGCCCGAAACTAGGCTGAAAATGCAATGGTTTGCCCTAGTTGCCTATGAGATAGTAGTATATCTTGATCTCTCCGGAGCTAACCCTCTGTGAGTGTCCATATGCCAGACCTGGACTGCCATCGATCTCGTTCGGATTACCCTTACCCCCGGCCCTTAATGCCCCCCACCCGACTTTTTATTCCACCGCAATTACAGACCCTTTCCTCTCCAAATCTGCCTTGTCTATTACGGCGTCAAGTCGTCGAATCTTCAACATTTGTCGGTGTCGATGCGGCGCAAGTTCTTCTCCAATGAATTCATACCTTATCCACCACCCTCCTCTCAGCCACCGATGTATGCCGCTGTCAATCACCAACAGCGAAGCTGTTGACTCAAAAGCCTTTCCTATATATACTTTGATTTATCGCCCTTTGTTCACTCTGGTATAGACTAGCCCTTTGGTTGGTTATTTGATGGGAAATACACTTATTATTGTTTTTATTGCATTCAGTTCTCTACATCATGAATCGGAATTTAGTTCATCCCACCTCAGTCACATCCCCGCGAAGAGAGGATATACGGTCTCGCGAAACATCCTCGGTATACTCTTCTCCCATTTCTACCTCGTCCCAGGGAGGCCTGTCGCCTATTGGTCTTGGAATTTCCCACTGCGAAATCGAGAATGCATTCGGTCAACTGAGGGTCTTCCCTCCCACGGCTACACTACCATCGCAACTAGTTCCTGGAGCGCCAACTCCCACTTTTGCATTATCCTATGGCGACTACTCTAGCGGAGCATGCTACCCACCAGTCTACAACGGACTTGTCAATAGTGCTTCGGAGACTCCACTGGGGTTCTACAGCCCCACGACGATGAGCGCGTCCCCCAGCTACAACTCGACTATGGATGTTGTTCCTGGCCAGAATGTCTTCCCAGGCCAAATGACCGACATGTGGATGCACACGCCTTGCCCGGCACCGACAACGCCGTCGGATGTTCCCCCGGGGACTGTGGCGAATGGAGCCGCAGGACAATGGGGCCAGAGTGTATTTCCGGACGCGTGCATGCCCTCCACGATGCCCCTATTGCCAGTCAACAATGTTTCCTACCTTGGGGCGATGGGAGAGGAGATTGGGTACGACAGATCCTCCGGACAGAGCGTCAACACCGGACAAGCCGTGTCTCAACCTCAAGCATCTGTCGAAGGGACTCATGGTGTCACAAACTCAAGCAAAAGAGAGCGCGGCTCATCAAATGACAGGCTAATATCTGCCAGTGGCCTGGAATGTCCCATTTGTGGTGCCAAATTCACGCGACGCTCCAACTGTAAGGAGCACCAAAAGATGCACAACCCTGAATGGAAGAACAACCATCCGTGCGATACCTGCCACAAGACTTTTGGGCGAAGCTCAGACCTCAAAAGACACATGAACACCGTGAGTATGAAGGCCAAAAAAGAGCCAAGAGAAGATACTAATGAGGTCTCTAGGTTCATCACGGGCTTCGGAAGTACAGCTGTGACCTTTGCGACCGGCGTTTCAGTCGCCATGATAGTCTGGTTAGGTAAGGCCCCAGTATATTTATCCTCGTTGAATGCGCACTGTGCTAATATGAAAAATAGACATGATTGTGTAGAGAAGCACCGCAACACTGAGAAGTCTACTGGTCACGCTGAGGCGTCGCTTATGCTCAGGCCGCGCCAGCGAGCGTCGAACCGCCGCTCAGCTAGCTAACAGCACAGACGGCTGATCCCATGTTTGCATGTCTAAATGAATATTGGAGGGAAATTTCGTCTACATTGGCTATGATTCTTGCGGGTTGCATAGTTTTGCCATTACGGGGGTTCTGCTGGTCAGAGACACCTTGAATTTGCTTTTGTTTGCTTTTATTTACTGGGCTTCATGAAATGCGAGATCCCTATTAGGATTCACATATCTGACATGGCATGAAGTCCATTTCCTTGGCGTTGTTGGATTGTTTATACGATGCATTTCGGTTGGAATTTTGAATTATTGTACTGCAGGTGGTCTTTTTGAATTTTTGAATTGTTTTCGCCTTGTTTCAATTCATTTCATTTGGCTATATCTTGATATATTACCCCGTATATATATTTCCCATTTCGAATGTGATATCTGCATGCAACCGCATGACCTGGCGCGCGGGTAACAAGAATATTATGTACTCTGTGGTTGACATCCAATATCACGCAGCTCAATCAAGATCGGCATGGACTTTAAGACAGGAACTGGACAGAAGATCAGAATGGTAAGTACAACATACATAGTGTGTATGGATGGTTGACTTCGAACAGCGACTCAGAGACCAAAAGGACATTGTGGAAATTGCACTTATTTCGGGGAAAAAGAAATTCTCAGAAGACTCCAAACTTCCCCCCTTCTTTCCCCCCTTCTTTCCCCCTTCCGACTCTCCGACTCCCCGTTGGATCTCGACTCTTGCCGCTCCGCCTAAGCCGAAATCACACGCTAAAATTAGGGATCTTCGACCTTCAGACGAGCTTTGAAGGGAAAGTGTGAAAGAACTCTAACTCTGTTTGTTCTTAAGAGAGTTATTAATCTTTTCTATTGCAAAGCCAAAAAACCACGAATCCAAAGGTTAAATAGGCAATGGTTATGTCTCACCGGGCCCTGACCAATCTATTAATCCTTGCTCAGTCACACGCTACGGGGAAATATAGGCAAAGTATAGTGGGAATCGATTCTCGTTCCTTCAATAATAAATAGCCGTACTATTGTCCAATCCTCAATTTCACCCCGCTATCTCCGCTTCTTGAAGCTAGTCGTCTTAAGTGGAGACAAATTACAACTGGCCATTTGGAATTGTGCCTCCGGTGCAGCCGCGCAGGAGACATCGCGTCTGTTCGCCTATCTAAAAATGGGTCCATTAAAAAAGTATCCGAGGAGCTGCTTATAGCTGCTTAATATACGATTTATCCGTTCAAATATCGGAATGGCCGACTTGATCCATGCCCCTGAGATTTCGGAGTGGGCCCGGAAAATCCAGTCATATTATCTCCGACGATAGCCTCCTCGGGTTCAGAGTTGAGGCGTTTGCACTTCGTAATCCCACTTAGTACACTATCGGAAATCAGTTTCCCGTTTGTCCCAAAAGAGCTGATGATCATATTGAGCAAATGCAAAAAGGAAAGTACATTATTGACTACTCCGCAGGTAGATATAGCTGGTGGAAAGCTGTCTCAGCACAACATTCCCATGACATTCAATTTGCAGATCTATGATTTCGATGGAGCTATGGCCTCAAGCTAAAAAAAGGAAGAAAGGTAAAAAAAAAAGGGACCGTGCCTGAAAGGAACCACTCCCTATCTCTACGGAGACCTTCTGTATTGTACTCCGTTCTCCGTATCCGCAATATCCGCAATGAACTAGGGGCTAACCCAGGAATAGGAATAAAGAATCCTTGTCCCTCTCAATGCTTTTGTGATAATTCCAAAAAGGAATTTCAAAAGGTCTATCACAATATAATTTGTCACTCTTCATCTGGGGAGTGTGCCCAGTCATCCATCACTAGTACCAGCGCCATTAACACTCCTACTACGAACGGCTTTATCGGCATACACGGCCTAGACTGACCTATCGATTTGTTTTAATCTACCCCTGAGTTTAGATAGATATTAGGAATCCTTATATTCCAAGTTAGATGCTCTCATCTTCGCTGATTGAGGATCCATGCTAGCATCGGATATGCAGGCCCCGTGGGATACCCCGATTATCAATCAGATCTTCAAGGAGAACGAATCAACGACTTTAGCTTCTTAATCCTTGGTAGGCTTCATCTCAATAGGGGCCATTCTTGAGGAATCAGAGAAGCTGTCTTCCGTCTCTGCCGCTTAACTCTGGTTCCTATATACCACCTCGGTTAGCAATAGACACGAACCTAAACGGCATCATACATATGACTTCCAAGATACTTACCTTTTCTCAATCTCTCTCTTTCATGAAGGAAACAGACACCAAAAGTACTGATAATCAAGATAACAGACGGAATGGTGACAGCGATAAAGCCCCTGCGGTATTCCAGCGCATCGACTTGCTGCCATACGACAAGAGGCAGCCAGGTTTGGAGAACATACGCCATTTCGTTCATGGTCCCTACAACCAAGGATCCCTCTTTATCTTCAGAGCATATCTCGTGCGCCCAGCTGTGGTAATTGCATTAGAATATTTACACTTTCATAGCCTCGGGGATTTCTCAGGCACATCGGGAAGGATAAAGAATCCACTAATAGCCACGGGCAGGGGAATAACCCCATCGATAATAAATAGCCTGGATTCTAGTTAGTATATGACCAAATGCCGAGTCTCTCCCAGTTTTCTTACCATTGCCAGCCCTTGAAGCCTCCTCATCCTCCGAGGTGGAAAACCGCGTCCATTAGATATCCGGAAAACATACTGGCAATCCCCCTGCTAGTGTGAAAGATGCATGAGCGTTTGCCAACTCGTCTTTCCGGTACCAGGAGCCGATGATATACTGCATTCCGGGATAGAGAGTACTCAGCGAGACCTGTCATGGTACAATGTTAACAACCCGTTGCAATAAAGTGAGTGCTTGTTAAGCTGTGCTTGCATACCAATAAAAATCTAAGAACATAGAACTGAGTAGGGGTGTTACACCCTCACAACGACATTTTTAGAACCGTCCAGAGAAACTATTAGTGTGTAAGCTTACAGCTCTCGCGCATAAAGAACAAGCCTCCTATCTCCATAGCCGGGATCCAATATCGCGGCTTGATGCGACTTAGGAGTATATTGCTGGGAATTTCTCCAATAACGTAGCCGATAGTCCAGCATGTCTGCATGCAGTTCAGTTCGTTGCCGTACATGCCCAGATTTTCCTTCCTATACATTATGAATATCAAACTCTCGAGGTTGAACATCAATATGGTCATACATTCCAGAGCGAATGCATTGTTGATATTTATCTGGTCCAGATATTTGATAAAATATCCTATAGCTATTTAGCATTGTTCAAGAGAAATAGCCCTGGAGGTTAGTGAACTTACCCGACGATGCAAACGTTAAATGGCCGAATCCAATTTGAAAAGCAAGCGACGCTCCTCTGGTGACTTGTCAAATGTGTCCCAAATGTAGCTGACCCATTTAAGCTTGGGTTCTTTCCGAACTATCTGCGTCGCCGGATCGACATCTGCTTTTGTAGGGGATTTTATCGACATAGTCATGTTGTGGTAATGGGAGGATCAATACTGAAGTCTTAGGAACTTGAAACATTCTAATAGCGCGGAAAAGCGATCAAGTCCAAGACCAGAGAGGGATACTAAGGACGTACTAACTTGCCTAGGCCAGCCTAGCATTGGCCTTTGTCAACGCTCTTATCAGCATAAAAAAATGAGACGTATCCAGTTTAAAGCCGGGTAAATCATGCTTCAGGCTTATACTCCGCATTATGTGGGCGATTTGCATAGCAGGTCGAATTATCCGGCGACTTGTTCGCGCAATTCCTGCAAGTATTCTCAATATCAACCCCAAACATGTGAAAGACAATTAGACACATAGGAACTTTGCCGACTTTGAAGATGATTTGTTGTGTTGATGTTGTCATACCGGGCTGGAAACTCACCATCGCCTGTGCAGTGAAGCTCGTCATACACCTTGATGATGGGGTGACCTCTCAAAAGGAAACACATACATTTGCATATTTCTACCTAACAGAAAGAAGTTATACGTTGTCTGACCTTCCTTTTGACCAAAGTTTTGGTCGTTCTGATATTCTGTACACTGTGGCTAGCGCATTGTGTCCTCGTTTCCCATCTCGTGGGGAGAATTGACAGATCTGACTAAGGAGATTTGAGACGGAAAATGGTCTCGACGGAGGCATCCCGAGGATGTGGAGTTAGGGATTAGTGTCGTTCGTATCGGGCTCGGTGTGTGTGCCCATGCTTTTGCCTTTGTTCGCCTTTGCCTGAGGGCCTGAATCTGCGACGTCGAGGTTATCGTTAGTCCAGTGGAATGCCGTTGTGGTGGTCTTGTCGTACGCTGCTTGGAGGTCTAATCAAAATTGAGGGACGTGCTTGGCCCGGGTTGGGGACCCGTAAAGGCATGCGTAGAGCTTAGTTGGCGTTGAAGCTGTCCACACCGGTGTGGTTCATGTTGCTACCGTAGACGAAGATGTCGTTTTGCGGCCTCTTTATCTAGGTGGACATGTGATAGAAGGGGGCGAAATCATGGATTGAGCTACCTGTCGCTAGGTCCCACCTGCCTGAGGCAGAGCCTCCAGGGATACTACATATAGACTTCACCACAAGCACAACAATGGACCGCTTATGGGGCTGTCTGTACTAGCAATATAACACTTGGATAATCCGATCCGCTTGGCTCGAGATGATGATAAAGATGATTGATTGACGATCCTTTAACAATGTCTTTTTACAATGCCTTGTTTCAATATCACGCAGTGATTCCCACTTCCAATGGATTTTTGAGGACATCTGCCCGGGAAAGCTTCCCCGCTAGAAGCAACTTAAGTCTCTCACTCAAAGCTGCTCTCTCTGTAATCCACGTCTCAGTATGACCCTCAATCAAAGACAAACCACGTTCAGCTCTTCCAGTATTGACCCATTGAATCAATTCCTCGACATAAGGTTGCTCTCGGTCCTTGAGTGAATGAAAGCTCCGTCCAAGCCCCTTCTCTTTAACACGACTCTCGTATTCCGTCCGGAGACTTGTGGTAGATGGGAGCTGCGCAACCCCAGACAGGAAGGCTGTCACGGCGATAGCTTGGAACTCGAATAAAGAGAACGTGGCGGTGTAAAACGGAATTCCCACAAATGCGAGCGTGGGATCTGGAATGTAGAAAATGTCTTGATGCAAGTTATGGACCTGGGTGCCATCTGTGACAAGCACCCTGTCATTTGCCTCGGCGGCAGACAAACCGTAGTCGTTGTATTCATCGAGGAATGGAAGTGCCATTTGGTATCCTGTACAAAGAATAATTGTATCTATATCGTGCAATGACTCCCCGGATTTGAGATGTACGGTCAAAGGCAAGTGCTCGACGTTTGCGGATGCTGGGGTAGAAGGTTCGAATGCTTCGACCTCGGCAATTCTCGAGGCGTTTTCTGGAAGCGCACTCTCCGGGAGATCAAAGACACCATTTCGAGTGCTTTGATACACGTGGTCTGCGGTTCCGCTGATTTCAATGGCTATGTCGAGAGAGGAAACACCTCCACCGAGCAATAGTACATTCTGCATATTATCAGTCCAATGCCATTCAAACTAGAATGCGTTCACTCCTACCTTTCCTTCAAATCCTTCTGACCTTCGGAAAGACTTTGAATGGAAGATCTTCTCGGGCCATCGAGCTTTTGCTTCGGGTAGACCCCGTATATCCGGGATGAGAGGCGTATGATAATGACCCGAGGCAACAATGACCGAGTCAAACGTCTATGACACGATCAAAACCACTTCTGAAAATGAGAATGAAACTTTTTATAGAGATCAACTTACTGCAAACTCCTCATTCTCAATGGGATCTTGATCTTCACTCAAAGTGGTCCAGTGAACTGTCCATGTTGGCCCATCCTTATGAACTCGGGTGACTCGGGCGCCAAACTTGGTTATATTATCGACGCCAGCCTTGCTCGATGTATCCTGGATATATTCCTTGAGGACATGATGCTTCACAAAAGGAGCAGTCCCTTCTGGCCATGCGTTGAGTTTTGTCTGTAGTAAGGGAGTCGAGACATTGTTGGTGAGACTTTCATAACAAGGCCTGGGAAATAGTGAGCAAGACTACTAAAAGAAGGAAAGAAGAACTAAATCTACCCCGGAGGCGCATGAAGCAAGATCTTTCTTTCTTTGTCTTCCCTCCCATCCTTCACGTATTCCTGTGAAGCAGACGGTCTCGGTGATGGGTACTGGGCTTCAATCGGAGTACGCTTATCATAAACCCTACAATGCTTTAGTCTATTATTGTAGATCAAAATAGACTCAACATCTTACCAAATCCCACCAGCTGCATTGTTTCTCTCAAAAACCGTCACCTGAATTCCAGCAGCCAGAAGATGCCCAGCCGTGGCCACTCCACTGATACCAGCGCCAATAACAGCGACTCTAACAGAGTCGCTCATGATGATTCGCACTTAAGTAAAAGTAAAGAGATAACTTGCCTATCCGACTCTACGCGGATTGTTCCCGCACTTATGGTCCCTCTGAACGACAATATGGGCTGATATATCGCAATGCTTACCGGAACAACCGGCAGGGGAGTCGGACATTACGAATGATCGTGATTTCGATAGTGGATTGTGAAATCGGAGCTTCCCCGCTTGCAATTGCAGGACATAGCAAGTATAGGTTGGACAATTAACGTCGAATCAGCCCCGAAAGAGGGGTATGGGATGGCAATGACCGGCATAACTAAAGGTGACATGGCCCACAAAAGGCGTAATGGCTGATGACGATGGTGTGCTCACACCCCAAGCAAAGTAAGAAGTACAACGTTGATCAATCAGGCAATCGAAATTTCTAAATATGTATATAGTACAGGCTTTGTATCCGTTAGGACTAATATGAATTACAAAGTTCCATAGCTTCTCTACTATCATGGCTCCCGCTCCAATCGATCCACGCATTGTCGATGTCGCAGTGCCCAGGAAGGACACCCTGGGTCTTCCTGAGCCTGCACGAGAACGCTTAGAGAAAGCTGGGATTGATCTCAGCGATGGCTACCCGTATCGGCCGTCTCGTCCTCTCTATATTGACGATGTTTACAACGTGCGTGACTATGATCGCGTCCACGTAGACCCCGGCAGCCGAGCCGATCCCGAGAAGAAAGCACTACTATCCGCAGCCAAGGAAGTGATTCAGCTGACTAGGCACATCGGAACTGAAATCGTCGGGTTGCAACTGAAGGACTTGACAGACCAGCAGAAGGATGAGCTAGGCTTATTGATTGCCGAACGAAGCGTTGTCTTCTTTCGTGATCAGGATATTACTCCTCAGCAACAGAAGAAACTGGGAGAGTGGTTCGGGGAGATTGAGGTTCATGTATGTGTCTTCCAATCCAGCGAATCCAGGTGCCAATCACCAACTGTGTTTCTCTTCTTTTTAGCCTCAAGTGCCCCATGTCCCTGGCGTCCCGGGCGTGTCTGTAATATGGCCAGCATTGCAGGAAACAGAGAGGCCGGCGAGCTTCCGTCAGCCTGGAGGTGCATCTCGGTGGCATAGTGATCTCGTGCACGAGAGACAGCCCGCCGGAGTAACCCACCTCCACAACGACACTGTGCCGACAGTCGGAGGTGATACCCTCTGGGCCAGTGGATACGCGGCGTACGAGAAGCTGTCGCCGTTATTCCGCAAGCTAATTGACGGAAGGACTGCCATATACCGCTCAGCTCACCCATATCTCGATCGTGAGAACCCGGAGGCAGGACCTAAATATGTGGAGCGCGAGCACCCAATTGTCCGTGTTCATCCAGCTACAGGCTGGAAGGCACTTTGGGTGAACCGGGCAATGACAGACCGGATCGTTGGGCTTGACAAGGCCGAAAGTGATGTGATTCTGGGATACCTATACGACGTTTATGAGAAGAACCCTGATATCCAGGTTCGGTTTAAATGGAGTCCACGCACGAGTGCATTGTGGGATAACCGGTCAGTCAATACCCTGGGAAAGGTCTTAGATTTGAAGCTTATTCTTCGATAGCATCACGATCCATAACGCAAGCTGGGATTATGAGGGATCCCAGCCTAGACATGGAACACGGGTGACTTCGCTCGCTGAGAAGCCTGTATTTGATCCAAATGCGCCAACTCGGCGGGAGAAGTTGGGACTCTTGGGACCAGAAGAAGTTGCAGAATTGGAGAAGTCGACTAGTCTCCTTGAACTGAAGTAATCAAGGTGCTAACGCCCATGACGGCTTGATAGTGTGGAACTGATGCGGCATCCGATATTCGTATACAGATAGGCCTAGTCTGAAATGCAATTTTTGATGTTATATAGCCAGTTTTTTTAATCCTATAATCCTATAGGTAAAGGTACCTGGTACTTCTTAGTAGAGTACATGTATGTTAGCTGAAGCTCCCTTGGGATTTCCCGATAAAGGCAAACAACGGAGAAGGCAAATTTGCCGATCGTTGCCGCCTTTGAACCGAGACCGCATTTCCTTTGATTTCTTTCTGTTGGGATTCATATTACTTTCTTTTAACTTCACTTTTCGGCCAAAATGAGCGCAACGATGACAATAACCAGTCCGCCTGAGATCACGGCGGACAATGTCGCCACTCTCTTTCCCGAGGTCGATACATCGCTCGCCCGTGAAGTTCTCCCCACAAGCCAAACAAACACTGCGCGCAGCAGCGAACTTGAGGGCTACGATGAAGAGCAGGTCCGCCTGATGGATGAGGTCTGCATAGTTTTGGATAACAATGACCGGCCGATTGGAAGCGCCAGCAAGAAGATCTGTACGTTCTACGGCACCATAATCCATCCCATAATCACCCACAGATATACAGAATGGCGGGGTAGTGGGCACAACATGCGAGATAAGGCACTGACAGTTGCATTCGCATAGGCCATTTGATGACCAACATCGACAAGGGTCTCCTTCACCGCGCCTTCTCGGTTTTCCTTTTCGATTCCAATAAGCGTCTTCTGCTCCAACAGCGCGCCACTGAGAAGATCACCTTCCCCGACATGTGGACCAATACCTGCTGCTCACACCCCCTTGGCATTCCTGGCGAGACTGGATCTGAGCTGGATGCTGCCGTGCTGGGCGTGAAGCGTGCTGCGCAGCGCAAGCTGGACCACGAACTGGGCATTAAGGCAGAGCAAGTACCCCTGGACAAGTTCGAATTCTTCACGAGAATTCACTATAAGGCCCCCAGTGATGGAAAGTGGGGTGAGCATGAGGGTATGTTAGATGGTGTCATTTATATTTGACTTGATAAATGGAAACACTGACTTTTGCCTAGTGGACTATATCCTCTTCATCCAGGCGGATGTCGATCTGAAGCCCAGCCCCAACGAGGTCCGAGACACCACCTATGTCTCAGCTGATGAGCTTAAGGCAATGTTCGAGCAGCCCGGTTTGAAATTCACCCCTTGGTTCAAGCTTATCTGCAACTCCATGCTGTTCGAATGGTGGAGCCACCTCGGTACACCAGCCCTGGATAAGTACAAGAACGAGCAAGACATCCGTCGAATGTAAAAGGCCCGATGCACAGTCTATCGCATATTTCGGTTCCATTTCGGTCTGTTTTTGTCATCTTTGCATTCCTCGGGGCGAACCCGCCTCCTTTACGAGACTCATGGAAATATACCTCTGCACACGAGACAATTCTCACGACATCACTTCATTCTGATATTTACCCTCTCGGTTTAACTTCTAGGAAACCACACACATATCCAATGCTCTGGTCCTGAAATCTTTTGTGTCGTTCGTTGAGAGTATTCCCACAGCAGTCCCAACGAGACCTAGTCGAGACATAAATACATTAATGCAATAATGAATGTCATGCAACCAAAATGCCCAACTAATACCAACGCCAGCGCTAATAAAATGAATCGAAAAATCCGACCCCAGCATGATCATTACCGCGCTGGATCCGTCGACAAAAACAAAATGCAACTGCCCAGAATCACTGTCCCAACGACCGTAAAAACAACCTGCGTTTTCCAACCACTCTGCACCAAAGCCGCTTTGCGCGCATACTTCTTGACCGTGCGCGAGTAATTCGCAAACCCATTAGCCAAAGAGGTCAGACTCAGAAGCCAGAAAATAATCCCGAGGGGTAAGGCCATGCGTCTCTCTAAGCCGGTGGGTTGATCACGGAAATGAAAGGATATAATGATGGCCAGGGATACCACGGCCAGATACATGGACAGACGGAGCCATGAAAGGAAAGTGCGCTCGTTAGCGCAGTGATCGCGTGCATCGGAGGAGCTGTTTTCGAATAGGAGCGCGCCGAAGTAAGGACGTGAGAGGAAGATGTGGTGTTGCGACTCGATGTGTCTTCAAAATTGTCAACCGGACTGTCACTGTTGGGGCAGAATGTGGGGTGGGGCATGTGGCACTCATGACAATGATGGAGCATGCCAGGCTTGAATTTGAAGTACGGCATCATGTAAGGGATCAAGCCACAGGACGACGTGTTTCGCTCTCCGGCCCTTTCGCGCTCCGGCCATTTCTACAGAGATGGACAGTTTGACTTACTCTTCCACGAGTACCGGCTTCGAATTTACCGGGTTGATCAAAGGGTTGAAGGGAGGGCGAACACCCCCGGTTCGTGTCACTTGGGACATGGTGAGGAGTCTGACACTCGAAGCTCGATCATCCCCGAAATCTGGAGAAAACCTGGGGGACAGAGTCTGAGACTGGTCATGTGATGGTCTATACTGTTTTCGGAATGATGTCATGGTTCTAGTTATTGTTTTCCCATTTTGTTATGGATGATCGGATCTGATCCATGATCGACAGCCCCAGCATTTGAACGGGGTACTTTAGTGGCATGATGACCGGGTTCAGCTTGTATGTATGCAGTCCTTTTTATGGGGGACCTCACCCACCCCGTGTCATGAGCGAAACGATTGTTGAAAAAAAAAGCGACTTAATAAGAACCGAGGATCCCATAATTACTACATGTAGCCCCGGAGTGTCGCAAGCCCTGGAGGTTGCAAGGTTAGCTTGCATAATTAATTATTTAATAATGTCCTGCTCCATCCACCTGCCCACCTGGGCAGTCCCCGAGCAAGGTTGACTCACACCCCTTACTGACCTCGTGTTATCTGCATCGCCTCGTGGGGGATAATTCCGTAAATTACACAATATAGCAATTCCTGAAGCCGGACCAGCCGTATTAGCGGTATTACAAATACATCTCCGCATCCAGCTATCAGCCGTCTTTTTCTCTGGCTTTTTTGCCTTCTTGAAATATCTCCAAAGCTCCAAGGATCTAGAAACTCAGCTCGAGGTAGCTCAATTTATCTTGCTGTAAATAATGCGGTGGCCGTAACACACCCATAGCCTCATCTCTCACATTTTATTATGGCCCGAAACATCCGCTCAGTGGATTCCGCCGAGCATCAAAGCTCATTTAGCCGGTCCTTCACATCCAGCTCGCCCATTGCCGCCTCCGCAATTGCACGAGACCTCGCGGACTACAGCGATGAGGATCAAACACCCACCGATGAAGCTTCCGACACGTCAACGGCCCGCCCGCCCGGCAGCTATACCAACACCAACCCCCGCTCTTTAGCTGGTTCATATCGCCGCCCCAGTTGCTTCACATCGGTCAGCCATGCGACTGTAGTTCCCTGGGCCGGGGAACAGCAAACCCTATCTCAAAGCGAGCGCGAGCAAGTCATCGAAGAAGAACGGCACCTACTGAGTGATAACCATGTTATTGCGCCCGAGCATGCGCATGGCAAGTCCCACGGGCTGCAGCGTAAGATGAGCGGCTTGCTATCGGCTGCTATCGGCCAAGGATCGCAGTCTCGACGGCCAAGTGGATCTTCTCGACGCTCTAGAAACGGGGACCCCGAGACGGACGGGGCAAGCGAAGTCACAGCTCTACTTGGAGAGCGCGCTGAAGATCCCGAGGATAGTGAACTGGACTTGGAAGAGATTGACCGGAAATGGGCAGAAGCCGTCGCAGCCGGTCTGATCCAAACGACGTGGCAGCGCGAAGCAAAGGTCATTATGAAATACTCTTTGCCGCTCATGGTCACTTTCTTGCTGCAGTACTCTTTGACTGTGGCCAGTATCTTTACTATTGGCCATCTGGGAAAGGAAGAGCTCGGAGCTGTCAGTCTTGCGAGTATGACTGTGACTATTACCGGAAATGCGGTGTACTCTGGTCTGGCGACTAGCCTGGATACGCTTTGTGCGCAGGCCTATGGCTCTGGGAAGAGGAAGCTGGTGGGCCTTCAGATGCTGCGTATGGTGTATTTCCTTTGGACCATCACCATTCCAATTATGGTTCTCTGGTATTTCTCCGAGCATATCCTCGCCAAGATTGTGCCAGAGAAGGAGGTCGCTGAGATGGCGGGTCTGTATCTGAAGATTGCTCTCTTGGGAACCCCAGGATTCGCTCTTTTCGAGAGTGGCAAGCGATATCTCCAGGCACAGGGTGTGTTTTCTGCCTCCCTATATGTCCTCATTGTCTGCGCGCCACTGAATGCTTTTTTGAACTGGTTCTTCGTCTGGGCAAGTACTTTCCATTTCCAGCCTTTTGACAAGAATAAAACTGACTCGGATACTAGAAACTTCAATGGGGCTTTATCGGGGCTCCGATCGCCGTCGTAATCACAGAAAATCTCCTCCCGCTCTGCCTGTTCATCTACGTTTATTTCTTCGTGGGATCCGAGTGTTGGTGCGGATTTACCAAACGAGCATTCCAGAACTGGGGCCCAATGGTCCGTCTCGCACTCCCTGGGCTGATCATGGTCGAGGCAGAGTGTTTGGCCTTCGAAATTCTGACGTTGGCATCGAGCTACCTCGGCACGTCCGCACTCGCGGCGCAATCCATTCTCGCAACAATCTCCAGCATTACATGGCAGATTCCGTTCCCCCTCTCTATTGCGGGTAGCACGCGGATAGCAAATCTGATTGGGGCAACCTTGGTCAATGCCGCAAAGACCTCTGCGAAAGTGAGCTTCTGCGGAGCAGCCATCGTTGGCGTGTTCAACATGGTCCTTCTGTCGACTTTGCGGGCGTATATCCCCAGGTTATTCAGCTCTGATCCCGAAGTCGTCGAAATCGTAGCGCAGGTGCTTCCGCTCTGTGCAGCCTTCCAGCTTTTCGATGCTCTCGCAGCAAACTGCAACGGTATTCTTCGTGGTCTGGGGCGCCAGGAAGTGGGCGGCTATGTCCAACTCTTTTGTTACTATGTGATTGCTATGCCTCTTAGTATGGGAACGACATTTGCTCTGAATTGGGGTGTTATGGGTTTGTGGACCGGGGTTGCCCTTGCGCTGGCCCTTGTTTCCTTCACCGAAGCCATCTTTATCAGTCGAGCTAATTGGAATCGCTCAGTCGAGGAAGCTCTAAAGAGGAATGAGCTGACTTGACTTGACCCTTGGTATATATGAAAACCGTTGACATGACTTGATATCCATCCAGTTCATGACACAAAATGGTCAAATCTTTCCAGCATGCATGTCTTTAGTATTTCGTTCTGCATTAGCGGTGGCTTCAAGTGATTTCTGTTTCAGCCCCTTTTTCAACCCCAGCCCTGTCGTTAATCCTGTCTACATGTTCATAAAAAAAGAATCCAGATAGAGAAATGTGCGACTCTATCAAAAGTTATACAAGACAAATCATGATATCATTGGAGTCTGAATGTGACTTTTAACGAATAACACAGACACGACCACTCTATCTCTCTAGTACTCTAGAATAGCCCAAGTCTGCTCATCCATGGTGGAGAAGATCACACCAGCACCAAGCAACTCCTCACCGGCCCTGGCCACCTCAGTCGCAGGCATGTTCAATTTAGAAGCGATGACCTGCATGTGTAGACCCGTATCATCCTGAGGCTCAGTCTTGAGCAGGTTATAGATCTTCTTCGCAACAACCGACATCGAGGCAAGAGCCTTGTTTTGTCCGGAACCGTAGTCATCCGAACCACCCATAACAGCATCACCGCCAGCATCACCGCCAGGAGCAGCGCCACCGGGCGGGCCGCGAGTGAAGAACAAATGCACAGCAGTAGCCTCGAGCAGATGAGTATGCAGCTCATTGATATTCGACAAGGGCCGGACAGAGTGAGCACCAATGTACCGCTTGTTGCCAAAGGACTTGATGGAGCCAAAGACCCGTGCATAACCGTTGAGCTCGAGCTCACTCTTCCCATCGCCGGGCGCCTTGCCATCGTCGGTGTCCATGCTGTCTGCGGTGGTTGAGTCAACCCATTTCTTGACTTCGATTTCGCCAGTGCCGTCGTCAATCTTGTATGTCACGTTTGTGCTCTGTGAGCTGATGTTCCGTACTTGGCCCATAAAGAGGACATTGGCGACGTCGGCGCCGTCGACTTGGAATGGGGCTTCGGGGAAGGGCTGCGAGGCGTCGAGGACTTGCTTCACTGTCACGGGACGAAGGGTTTTGTTGTCCCGGTCAAAGGTCTGTATTGGGTATTAGTTAGTGTTTCTGTATAGGGAAGCCTAAGACCATGTGTATACCTTGCCTCCGGCGGGACTGTTCGTCTCGCCTGGCATGAATCCTCCACCGCCGCCGCCGCCGAATGAGCTATAATTGTTGTAATTGCCGTCTAACAATATTGTCAGATTATTATATAGTTAACAAATTATATTGGGAGTGATACATACCCATGGTGTATGTTGCGTTGTGAAGGGGAAATGTCAAGATACAGCGGTCTCTTCAACCCATTTTACTCAATTGGGAGCGTGTTCACGCGTCGCGGGGATCGCGTTCTGCCAGTTCAGACCGCCTCTCAAATTGAACTGCGCCATCTATGTACTTTATACAAAATTCCCTTGGTCGAATCCCATCCAAGGTTCCGTGTCCAAAGCTATACATACTAAGTACATATGTACATATGTAGGTATACAATATCAGAAGCAATTCCCGAAGTCCTCCAGTGGGGGATGACATCATCGAAACACTTCCATTCACAAGCCAGATAATATTTCTACACCCCAGAATATCTATTCGTCTAATCTGGACTCATCAATCCTCCTACTTGCTGATATCAAGGTCAAAGACACCCCACCTCTCGCTAAAAATGTCACATATGTATCAAAGCTCGGGCGTTGTGGCGGAGGAAGGTGCAAATCCGTTTCTCACGCACCTTCCCTCGAATACGCCCGTGTATTGTTACGATAAACAGTGTGCCATAGAGAGTCTCTACCCTCCATACTCGGTCGAAGATCGCTTCGTAGTTCTGAAAAATTTTCCTCCAAAGACATTCGCCAAACACTTTTGAAAAGATTACCACAACGTTTTGATTATCAAAATGCCCGGTGCACCACACGAAAACGCCGCCTCTAGTTTTGAAATAATAATTTCCACGCTCGCTAGAGACATGAATGTCTATAGACGGGTTGCGAACCGCGGGCCCACTGAAGTAGATACCCCTGACCGAAGCAAACAAGCAGACCGGTCGTGGGGGCCAGCCCGCCTACCGAGAAATTTTCCAACGGTAGCGTTAGAAGTTGACTTTTCGGAGACAACAGCGAATTGGAAAAGGATATCGCGTGGTGTATTAACGGATCACACGGCGAAGTGAGAATGGGGGTCACGATCGATATTAAATGATCGGGCTCTATCGAAATCAAGTCCCGGACCCCAGCGTTTCAGCCGTCACCCCACCATATCACAGCAAGCGGTTGCCAGGTCGTAGATAGAGGCACGAATGATCCTCCCCCACCTCGAGTGGCTCAGAGAGTTCTTTTTAAAGAGAGGGAGAGATTGCTCTGGTCCTACAATTGAAGGGAAGGGCATAACTATACCCTTCCGTGATCTCCTATTGGACGGACCAGGACAAGGCGAGGGGGACTTCGTGTTGACAGCCCAGATGCTGCTGCATGATCTGGCAGAACGTGTCTGGGATGTGATCGACGAGGCCTAGACGACCAAGGCCACCCACGTTAGCAAAGGGGCGTTGATGCTGAAGTTGGCACGTTACTTGATAAAATTGTGGTGCTCTTCCCTTTAGCTGTGGGGTGAGCTATGGATACATCATGAGAATTGTGCTCTGTAAGAAGAGCTTGAGGTATGTATTCAATAAGAGCATTCTGTCTCAATCTAGTCGTCTGTCAATGTCAATGGAATTGAAAATTAGAAACAATGCACCGCCCTGCAATTTCTACGAAACAGCTTACGGAGAGCTAAAGCAGAAATTTGCAAAGCACGATGACTGCGTACAATTAGAAACAATGATCGAAAACCTATATTTCAAAGAACATATCGAAAGTTCGGGTTCTGTCAGCCGGTTAGTGAAGAGATCACAGAAAGGAACGAATGATATCCAGTCACTAACCTCGAAATCAGTCAGATCTGCCCCAGCGCTCTGGTCAGTAGATGACTCGACCTGGCCCACAGCAGCAGCCGCGGCATCTCGCTGCTTGTTTCTGCGAGCCAGCATAAAACGCAGCAAAACAGCCAACGCTGCTTGCGCAGACGAGCATGACAGGATGAGCTTGACTCCAGTCTGGTATATGGGCGCTTCTCTTGCCAGAAACGCGTGGGGTCCAATAATATTGCCGGCACAGTACGCCAAGAACACCAAGGCGACACTTGTTGTACGCTTTGTATAACCACCTAGGTTCGTCGCTGGCATCTGTAAAGCCAGTACCAAGGAGCAGACGTAGGCGCCGATGATGTAATAACCAAACAACACGCCGATCTTGTACGTCTTATGGTCCAACTTCCATAGGAGGCTGGCGCCGATTATCGTCGGAATCAAGTAAACAAACATGACGACAGTTCGGAAGTCTTTAATTCGAGTTGCGAGATATGTTCCTCCTAGGATGTAGAAGATCTGGAATCCTCCAAAAGGGATACCCAAAGCGACAGCAGTGGCCGAGTCATCGGTCAACCCCTTGATAATTAGTTTTCCAAAGCTCGCAATCCCACCATTTACGACCTCGTTCAGAAGAGTAAACAAGAACAAGATCCGAACTTGTGGATCTCTCAGAGCTTCACGGATCTGGTACCATTTGATTTGATGGTTGATGATACCAGTCTGACCAAGTCGACCGCGGCCAATGAGGAGGGCCTTTTCGTCCAGGGTGAAACGATTCGATGAGATAACGTCGTCCGGGAGAAAGAGAAGCATCACAACTCCCCAGACGAGGGTAATCCCGCCCAGAATGAGATAGATAGCTCTCCATACGGCAATGGTGTCGATTTGTCCAATTCCATACGTGAGAATGCCACCCACCATAGCCCCTAGTCCGTTGCAACTGTAGAAGACACCGGCACGGAAAGGTTGCTGAGCACGTGTGTACCACATTCCTATCATCATCATAAAGCAAGGGGTGATGGGGGCTTCGAATACTCCCAGAAGGAAGCGGCAGATAGCCATTCCGGTGAAGGAAGAGCAGGCGGCAGTAATCATGAGCATCGATCCCCAGGCAATAATGTTCCCAGAAACGACTTTGGCAAGCCTCGTTTTCTGTGCGAGCATATTCCATGGGTATTCGGCGGCGAGGTATGCGAAATAGAAGATACTGGCGAGCCAGCTGTATTGCTCGCTGGACATATGTGTTGAGGGGAGAAGGTCGAACACCGCAGAGTAGGCGAGTGCTGATTTGTCGATATACTGAAGCATATATGTCCCGGAAAGTAGAGGCAGCAAGACAAGATCTACTTTGCGGACCAACGCCTTGTTGCGCGGCTCATCATCCAGGAGGGCTTGGATGGCCTCTTGATTAAAACCATGTTGCCGGAGGAAGACCTCTCCTTCATCGAGATCCGTTATAGTGCCAATTTGCACATCTTTCTCGTTGATAGTATCGTCCACGGGTGCTTTCTTGTCGATCTTCATATTCGCAATCCAAAAAATAATAGCATATAGCAAACGAAAAAATGGGAATGATCCCCATATAGGGAATCAGATGCCCCTCAAAGCCTTTTAGCCATATTTCCTTTATCTTTAGGGTTTCCACCAAGATAGGAAATCCCCGCACGGAGTAACTTTCCGAGGTCCTCTTTGAACGAGATAACCCCCACGGTGCTATATCTTACTCCCGACTCCAAGATAGTCCCCCGCACGGTGCAACTTCGGTGCTACTTTTAACCACCGGAGAGATAGCGACGCCCACTGTCCTATATCTTACTCCCGACCCCAACTCTTGTCGCTCTTGATCCCTTTATTGGTTTACCGTTGAACCTTGATACACCATGACTGCTGATAACAAGCCCCCTTCCGTCACCCTGGTGCAAGGCCGTGTAGTAGGGACCCGGCTCAAAGACTCTTTTCCCCAACCCGTCGACGCCTTCTTGGGAGTCCCGTATGCCCTTCCTGCTGTAGGGGATCGACGCTTCAGACCAGCAATCAAAGTTTCGAGCTCATCAGATACAATCGATGCGTCCAAATATGGCCCCGCGGCTCCTGGAAAGCCACTTCTCTCCGGAGGACCGAAGCTCGTGCAGAGTGAAGATTGCTTGACGGCGAACATCTTTCGACCAGCTGGCAGCAATGATACGGGCAAGCTCCCTGTCGCAGTTTATCTCCACGGCGGTGCTTTCAATCGGGGCTCGGCAGCTATGCACAATACTGCGTCCATGGTGGCATGGTCAGAGCGCCCCTTCGTTGCTGTAAGCTTCGGTTATCGCATTGGAGCTCTTGGATTCCTGCCTTCGAGTTTGTCGCAGAAGGAGGGGTTGCTGAACCTTGGATTGCGTGATCAGGTGCATTTATTGCAGTGGGTTCAAGAGAACATTGCCAACTTTGGCGGTGATCCTGCCAACGTCACTTTGTTTGGTCTTTCTGCGGGAGCGCATTCGGTGACTCGCCCAGTTTCTGATTTCCCAAATATTCCATTCTGACCGAAAATCTAGATTGGCCACCACCTCCTTAATTATAGCGAGCACAAATCGCCATTATTCCATCGTGTTATTATTGAATCTGGAGCACCAACTTCCCGCGCTGTTCGCCCGTATAACGCTAAGGTTCACGAGGACCAATTTGCGGACTTCCTCCGGGAAGTCGGTTGCCCAGCCGATCTAGCCGAAGCCGAAATCTTCTCGTTCCTACGTTCGCTCCCCAGCTTGACTATTACAAATGCCCAAACGGCCGTTTTCGACAAGTACAACCCTTCCCTTCGGTGGGCATTCCAGCCTGTGATCGATGGAGACATTATCCCTCGCAAGCCCCTTGAGGCATGGAAGTCAGAAGTCTGGAACAAAGTACCCATCATGACCGGGTTCAACAGCAACGAGGGAACAATGTACGTCGACAAGACAATGTCGGACGCCTCCCAGTTCCGCGAGTTCTGGCATAATCTTCTGCCCGAGCTCTCATCTTCTGATCTCGATACAATCGAAAAGCTTTATCCTGACCCCACCGGTAATCCCACATCACCCTATCTTGAAGGCAGACAGGGCGAGGGCCTTGGGCCTCAATATAAGCGTATTGAAGCTGCGTATGGGCACTATGCGTACGTGGCACCAGTCCGCCAGACAGCACAATTTGCATCCTCTCAAGGTGCTCCAGTTTACCTTTATCACTGGGCGCTACCTAGAACGGTCGTCGGTCGAGCAAACCACGCCGATAATATGTACTACGAGACGTATAACAGTGATATTACGGGGATTTCAGAATCGCAGAAAGAGTTGTCTGGCACACTTCATGCCTACTTGACTAG